TAATTTTGACAACATATGTAAAAATCACAAAAATTCGCAAATTATTTTAAACTAGAAATTCATAAAAAAAATTATTTTTAAATCTAAGATTTAAAAATTTTTAATAATCTATAATATATCCTAGACAGATAAACCGTCTCCGTTCAGAATCGTTTTTCGTATACAATGATACCTATCATTGCATTCAAATTTAACCTACCCTAGTCAGAGGTCCACCCCACTGCCTAATGCACAGCAGACCGATACCCACTTACCCGCTTTTTTTAGTATACGTTTTCGAAATATGTGACACACAAATTCACTTTAATTACATAATAGTTATTGACATAGAAAGAACAGCGAAATTGATTTTTTCTATCATTTTGGGAATTGGTGCTACCCTAATAATTGTTGGGTGGGGGAGGTGATCCCCCAAAAATCCAAAATTTTTGTATAAATGCTTTTTCTGAAAATGTATATTCTATAATTTGTATACTAACTTATAAAAATACACTATGTGGTCTTAATTTCTTAAATAATAGTTATGAGGTGGTTAATAGCAATAATTTATAATTTGTTATTACCTATACATCATATAATATTAGATAGTTACCTACTCCAAAATTAAGGTTACCATACTTCCGGATTTAGTCCAACCAGTTCGGATCGGATCTCCGGATTCAATTAATGCCCAGATTTTACAATAGTAAACGAAAAACACTATTATATATTGGTCCAAATATTATATCAGGTGTCAGATCTTTGAGTTACACTCTGTATAATTTCTATTCTTGTTCATATTTTTTCCCCAGAACGTCACGTTACAACCAATTATTATTGTTATTGACATAAATAATAAGCGATTTACTTTTAATCAACTCGTTAATTACTATAAATGCAGTATTACTATTATTATTTCTATTCGTGTAATAATTTTTTCACGTCATGTAATACCTAGCGCTGGATAACGGGGTTTCATCGATTCCGCAAGACCTTTTTATACTTGGAGAAAAGGTTTATCAATTCCGCCACCATCGATTATGCCAGTGCAGGTAGTCTAAAAACAACCTATCGATTCCGCCACGAAAATAATGTTCTTCCCGAACAACGATTTTAGTTTTATAATTTCATTTTACTTACGCATAGCTATATTATAAATATAAATATTATATAAAATACCTGTATAAAAATGTTATCGCTAATTGACGATAATCTAACATGTAAACGCGTAATGATGCGAAAAACGACTCGTAGAATTGTCCAACACTGATCTTAGTCTCGATTTATCCTCGTGTCATTATACTTCGTAATAATGAATTTCGAAATTGTAGCTGGTGAACGAGAAAATGATTTGGTTATTTATCAAAATGAAAAATTTTTTAAAACAAACTTCGTGAAATATTTATGTGCGTATAATAAGTGGAAATGTGTTAATAAAAAGTGTAATGCAAAAATATATATAAACGAATCATTAACGGACATTTAAAAATATGATGTTGACCATAAAAACCATGAAAAATAACCAATAAATGTATTTAAAAAAAACTATTTTCAAACCTACTAAAAAGAAAACTTACTGATGTCACAGAAAGTCCTTCAAAAATTATAAATCGTGAAATCTAAAAAATCCTCAAATTGAAAATATCATGGAAAATTACCATGTTGACAATATCAAACAATGTATACATCGAGAACGTAGAAAACACATACCTTCACTTCCAAACAATCACTGATTAAACGACGTTTGGCTATAGTTAAAAAAATGTTTGAGTCCAAATTTTCAGGACCTCGGACTGAAACGGAAGCAATTATTGTAAATATTATATCTCTTACATATTTAATGAATTACTTAAAGATCTCAAGATCTCAAGTACTGTGTTCCATGAAAAAATCAAAAATGACAAGTGTTTTCTAAAGAAAATTATTGAAATTACTTGAAGAAAAAAAATTATTATTTTTATAATATTAAAATATTTGTTCTTATTTTTATTTTTTGTTTAGATTGACATCATTAATTATAGTTTAAGTTAAAGTTATTATGCACATAGAGGCAGTGGCGTAATTATGAACTTGGTTTGGGGGGGGGGATTATATGTTTTTAGAAGAATCTGTAAGTCTCATACAGTAACCTACCCGACAAAATATAAAATGTTGGCAGTAAAATAAA